TGAACAAAAGAAAAGACCCACACAGCACACAAAATAATGAAGTCAAAAGTAGCTTAGTACACGTAGAGAAGGAAAAGTGTGCATATATCTAAAACAGGACTATATTTAGTAAAAGCATAATAGAAACAAAAGCAGAACAGAAATAAATATCTACAGCTTAGAATGGACTGGCCATGAATCAAAACATCATGTTGTCATCATAAAAGAAAATGAGCAGTGTAAAATGAATGGACTGTTTACTCGCACTGATTATGCTCATTGGAGTCAGTGTGCAGTTATGACCTACTTAGCTAAGGAAGACTAGAAAAATATTGGGAAATATTTAAAAATATGCAACAAGATGAAAGTTTGGAAAATAAAAAACTTTATAACGCATGACAGTATAATTGACTAAAATATTATTCTGTCTTAAACATTTACATGAAAGGACAGTATGGTGTCATAGGAATAATCTTGAGATTAATATTTTCTCCACATGCCTTGGTTTAATATGAAACTGATTACCCTTTTTAAATCAACTCACATTGTTAGCCTCTACTATTGCTAGGGATAATGAATACAAGTATATTTTACCTACTGCTTTGGAAATACATTTACTTGCCCTAAGTAAAGTCTTCTATACCCTGTTCCAATGATTCTAGGAGAACATGTAAATTCTACTTTTACCAACTTTTATACTTTATAGTTTTCTCTAGTAATCCTATAGAAAAATGTATGGCCCATACAACTGTTTTTGCATTTGTCACTCTTAAGTCAGAACTTCATATCTTCCTCCTTGCTGTTTCTTCCTTGTCACCTACTTTTAATTCATTATCTTAATATAGTTAGTACTATTAAAAGCTGACTGAAATTCTGAAACAGTAAAGAGGTATAAATAAATAAGCAAATAGATGAACAAATTACTAAGATCATCCATAAGATTAAATACTTCTGTTATCTCTCCTATTTAAAAAAAAAAAAAAAAGCCCAATATATTTTAGTTTGTCTTCATCTGACCCATGTATTTTCCCAAACAGTTCATTTCAGTTGCTAAGGTGAGAAATGGAGTTTTGAGGAATAATTTGGGGGTAAAAGACACAATGAAACAGCTGATATATGTGAAATAGATGGAAAGGTGGAGATTTTTAAGGCCTTTTGATGGTGGTCTAGGATTCCTATTGCAGTATCTGAAAAATGCAAATCAATAACTTGAGTTAATTTGAAATTACTTTTATTGCTGTCCTGGGTTCCTCTGACTATACCACCATCCTAACCATGTTGAATCATAAATCACATGGATCATGTCTTTTTAAGCAGATTGTATAGACTTGCTAGACAATAATTGTCAGAAAGCATCGCACTCAGTGTAAGGGGTAATCATACTGTACCTTGCATGGAGAATGGAGAATGGCAAAGGAGAGACAAAGTCATTCCAGGAGAAAAAACTACATAAATAAAAGGCCTGTATCTGATAATAACCAATAAATAAAAGTTAAAGGTATGAAATAACTGTGTCTCAAAGACAAACAAGGAGACTGACAGCTGGAGCAGAGAATTTCTTGTATATTCCAGGAAATAAGCCAGGATAAGACAGTGTGCGTGAAACAGCAGCAGAAGGCTGGGAGAATGAAAACAGTATCTTAAAAATGGTAAAATAATAGTAAAATGAACTGAAGTTGTTGGAATGGGTGCAAGAGAAAGGATGGTCCTATGAGAACTTTGGAGGAAGAATCAGCTGGACAGGAAGACACTCTAAGAACAGGAAAAGAAGCAGCTTAACGTGGAAAGCATACTCAAGTTTCCACCATCAGAGTGTTGAAGAATAATGACACTCCTAAGAGAAAAGACACCATGCGTGGAAGATAGGGGAAGAGTGGAAAGAAAAATTAGTTGAAGACATCATATTAGACTTCTAGTGATACAGTGGGACATTCAAGAAATATGGGCAACTGGATATACAATGTTGGGGTAAAAAGGCAAGTGCTCAGAGCTAGAATGCAGAGCTAGAAATAATCTGTATGGAGGTTATAAGGAAAACCATGTGAACACAAGAGCAATAAAAATGGTGTGTTTTTTTTTTACTTTAAAACGTTTTTGTCTTTTTAAAATGAAGTTGTTTTGTTACAAAAAATTTGGAAACTATAGAGAACTACCCAAATAAAAACTAAAATTGTTTGCAATCCTACCGTACAAATATAAAAACTACAAACTCTCCAGTATATATCCTTTCAATATTTGTCTTTATACATACATTTTTAATGCTATATGCACAGTAGCATGGCTCAATACTTCTCAGTTGTATCCCACTGTCCAATAAATGTTCATCCTCTGGGATATAGGAGTTCTCTTATCCTGCAAGTTTGGGGAATCAGCATTCTAGATCCCTCCCCTGGAGGTAAACGCTATACATTAGTATATCAGAAATCCTGCAAAGCTGAACCGTTAAAAGACTGCACATAATGGATAACTAACAGTCTTAGGTTTCTCACAAACACCTGCTAACATTCCCCTGAACTGCTCCCCTTTTGGAAGGTGGATGTGTATTTGTCAGGAGCTTGAACTTTGAAAGGGGACAAACCTAGGTTTAGAGTCTGCCTCCCAGCTTTGTTCTTTTCTTACTACTTCACTCTCCACAAAGGGGTGTGTGAGTGCTTACCTCACAGGCTGGTGGGAGGTCTGAAAGAGATAACATAAATGAAGCATTTGGCGTGTCTGGTATGCAGTTCACTCTAAAAACTGGACCTGCAGTTTCCCTTTAACTATAAACCATAACTATTTGTCATTAAATATTTTTAATCAACTTTTTTAATGGCTCCACATTAGTCAATCCTATGGATAACCCATACTTGATTTGTCTAATTCCATACTGTGGGAAGTTTATTTCCATTTTTTCCTTTCACAAATAATGCTTTCATGAACATTCTTACATATAAAACTTTGTCAACAGTTCTGATTAATTATTTATGATTGATTCCTGGAAATGGAGTTGCTGGATAAAGGGGCATAAATATTTTTAAGGTGTTTTGATACAGCTTATAAAATGCCCTCCAGAAAGCTTGTATCACATTGCATTTCTTCTATGGGCTGACCAGCCACCCCATGTTTTACTCTTTCTGTCAGGATAACACTAGAGATTGGTTCCTACATAGAGCAAAAAGAAAGAAAAATCTTACTATACTTATGCTTGCTCTCAGTATAGAAAAGAGGAAGAACTTTATTATAAGAAGTAACGATTTGAAAGATAGACAACCCACTTCTATGCTAACTTCCCAGGCCTCTAGTTGGGCTGAACAGAACAAGCTTGGAGGTGGAAGTCTTATAGAGCGACACCTAAAGGAACATATAACTGCAATGGTAATAGGTTAAGATAAGCAGATAATACAAATGGATTAAAACTGTATGAAAACAATAGGGAAAACAAACGTGTTTAGAAGTTTGGGAACTCATCAAAATGACCAGTTGCTTGCTTAAGTCATACTAGAAAAGATCTAGTTGCTTAATTTGTTACTTTGCCAATAATGAGCATTAAAGAGTTAACTACCTAATTCTCAATGACTTAAGTGTATATTTACATGCAAGGGTACAGGAGTATTGAGGGTATTCCACTCTAGAAATCAGTCATAAGGAATTAACCAAAGATGTTGAAAAGTTTTATATATAAGTGAAATAACAACAATATATTGGGGTCTTTGAAAGTCGGGTCTATATCTCATTCATCTTGGAGTCTCCATTACATATATGATAGGAACATAACAGGTAAATCACATAGAAACTTCGTGTATGAGATTCTCACAACCCTCTATTTACAGGTAGGACCCTTGTTCCTTAAGAAAAAGGGGAAGTTACAGTCAGTCAATTTAGATAGTAAAATCACTGATAGTGTATTTCTAAGATGAGTCAAGAATGTTTGGGGACTCTCTGCAACAGCATAGCTGGACTGCAAGAGCATTGTGCTAAGTGAAATAAGCCAGTCGGAGAAAGACAAGTACCTTATAATTTCACTCATACGTGGAATCTAATGAACAAAGTGAACTAAAAAGCAAAATAGTGACAGACTCACAGAGAGCAGGCTGACTGCCTGTCAGTGGGAAGGGGACTGGGGTGGTGGAGGGATTGAGCAAAAAAGAAAAATAAGAAAGCTCATGGACACTGACAACAATGTGGTGATTGTAGGGAGGGCGGGGGAGGTGGAAGGAGGTAAAGGAGCATATACAGAGAGGGGATAAATGGTGATGGACAAAAACTTGACTGGGGGTGGCGAACACAAAATACAGTGGACAGATGCTGTGTTATAGAATTGTGCACCTGAAACCTGTGTAATTTTGTCAACCAGTGTCACCCCAATAAATTCAGTGAAAAGGAAAAAAGAATTGTTGGGGACTAACAATATCTCCTTTAGTTATATGTAATATAGTTATTCACAGATACCAGGGAAAGATACTTTCTAATGATATATTTAGCAAAGAATCAAACCGACTTTCTACATAATGCCACAAAATGTCATCAGATGACTCAAAAAGAACATTTCATGCTTTAAATGATTTTTCCTATATTTAAAAACTGTTAATTAGATAATAAAAGTGAATTACCTTATTCATAATTTTAAAAGTTACTCCTATCTCAACTTTTACTAAGGTTCTGAGTTAGTTACATGAATTAATCAGTTTTGCTGTCTTTTTTGATAATTAGTTGGAGAACTGCCAAATCCCCCATCATGGGTCAAGAAGGATGAATTTTTAAGTGACTAGGCAATTATTGTAAATAGAACTAAATTCCAAAAATTCACATTTTCCTAGTATATCAGGAAAGCTATGAGTTAGTAGAATAATCATGAGGCTTGTGTCTTGTATTCATGAACTAAAAAATAAGTAAGTAAACAATGCTCTATTTATTTACCTGTGTCTTATACAATATTGTAAGTTCTTTTTGTAAGATGTATTTACCTCCATGGATAAAAGTTTCTATTAAACTTTTAAAATAATTACAGAATTATAGATAATATAGCATTTAAAGGTTCTCACCTGAGTAAAGAAGGGTAAAAATGTGATAGGCAAGAAGACCAATGTAATGGTTGCTTGAAAAGTGGTTTTAAGGAATCTGAAGCAGAATGATCTATGCCATGCTGAAAAGTCCTAGGGAAGTAAAAATAACTATTTCAGAATATACAGTGAACATTAACTATGAAGACCATCAACACTTTTTATTTTTACTTAGTATCCAAAAGTACTGATTTTTTTTGTATTGTCCTAGGATGGACAATACACTCACATCATCCACTTGGATTTATGTTAATTAACAGGTGACTCAGAGGCCTCTGTATAATAGTCCTCACACTTGGAAAGGTTTTGACAATACTATTATCATTGAATTTTTAAAAAAATCTCACATTACAGAATTTGTCACAAATAAATGTATAAAGGATAGTACAATGAATACCACTTATCTCTCCCTCTTCAGCCTGGATCCAATATTAATCTTTTGTCACATTTGCTTCATTAATGTAAAAGTATTTAGCATAAAGGTGCCACTTTTTACTCTTTAAAGTGATTTATAAAACCTAAACAGTTAATTACAATTTTGTATTCTCCTAAAGTCCCTTAGAGAGTTTGTAAAGAAGAATTTAACTGCAAAAGATATGACTATAATTTCAAAATTAGAAACGTTTGGCCAGAATATCTGGTCTGCAACTATCTTTGGAGAAGTGACTGTTAACATTTTTCTAATTGGCCCAAATTCAGCAATAAATCTCGAAGTTAAAAAAAAGCATTTGTCACCTTTCGTAGATATAAATATATCTTTAAATATTCTTTAAAGATAAAGATAAATAAATCTTCAAAGATTTATCATATAAAACCTTTCATAGATAGTTTGGTTAATAAAAATTTTATGATAACAAGAGGCTGTATTTGCCTACATGGAGTAAAGAGTGATAATCAGACCATTTTAGAATTGGAATTGTTTGAAGTGGTTCTACTTCTCTTTATATAAAGAATAGGAGCAATAACATCTTTTAGATAATATGTAGACGGAATTCCATTTGAAAACCTGTCCTTTATTTTCATTTCATACCCTGCTTCTTGTATGCTTGCATTTTCTAAATTTGACCTCTCTCCTATTTGTCTTACCAAGTAAAACACCTTCTAATTAAATATACTTAGACATTTTTTAGGCTTTTAATTTATCATTTCTTTGAAGCCATTTTTTTCTCACTAATTTTCAGAATAGAACAAAATTCCTTAAGTAGGTTTCAAAATCAGGCTGTCATATATCCATTCCACGCATTCCATTGTGTGAACTAGATAGGTAAGCAGAAGCTAGGTCAGGATACCAGGATATATTTTCTAGGGAGCCCGGACTTTGTACCAGCAATGAGGATTCCCTAAAAAGCTTATAGCATAGGAGTGATGCCACCAATTTTACATTTTAGAAAAACCACTTGAGCACTAGTGAGGAGCACAGACTGGGGAGGATCAAGGCTGGAGGAAGGGAAATAATGAAGGTGATATCGTGGCAGAATAGGCAGAAGAGGACAAGGTCCTATGTTAATAAACAAAGGAGATGGTGAATAGGAGACAAATGTAAAAATAAATTAAATTAATAGAATTAATAATATCCAACTCTTAATGACACGTGGTTGGAGATAGCATGAGGAGAAAGCAGAAGGGAGAAGAGTTAAGGGAAAAGGAGATGCCTAAGATGACTCGTACGTATTTTACTTAAGTTTTAGATATGTTGAGGGAGCTGCAGAGTGTGGAGCACATCCAAAAAGAGGCATACAATAGGAAATTTGGATTTATTAATCTAGCATATACAAGAGACATCCAGGTTGAAGATATTGATGTGGAAGTTATTGACACAATGGTAAAACTATGGGAATTGGTGAATTCACCCCAAAAAAAGAGTGTGAAATGAAAAGATGGTCAAGGAAAGAACTCTGGAACACATCAATATTTAAAGGAGGAGGTGAGAAAAAGCACCACTCAAACAAAACAAAGAAGGAATAATCGGGGAAGTCAGCAAAGAACCAGGAGATGGTGGTATTAGGGAAGCCAAGGGAAGGGAAATGGCTCATAGTGTCAAAAGCTGCAGAGAGAATAAGGAAATGGAGAAACAAAATTAGAGTTAGTGATTGGTTATGCATGGATAACCTGGCCCATGTTGTTTGCTTAGCAAGATGAGGGCAATTGGAATGAAGCAATCATATTAAAAGTCTAAATGATGAGTGTATTGAGTAAATGGTAGGTTGTTTACTCAATACACTCATCATTTAGACTTTTAATATGGTAGGTGTAAAAATGGAGACAATGAGCACAAACTATGTCTTAGGAGGGAAAAACAGCAGTAAAGAAGGAATAAATTTTAGTACAAGAGGCTTGGGGTAAGAACCAGAAGATAGAAAGAATATTCTAACTTTGTGAGTAGGACATAAATGTGGTCAGAGCTCAGGTGAAAAGATTCACTTTGGTTTGGAAAAGAGATACACTGATCATCTATCAAAGAATATAGAGGTGAGTAGAGGTTGAGATAATTCATAGGAATGGAGATGAGAATGTAAAGGGCATTCATGACTGCTGGGTTTTCTCAGAGAAGTACAGGGGCAAGGCCTTCTGCTAACAAATAGTGGGAAGGGGGGATAGGAGAGGAATTGGCAAAAGTGGAGGATGGAAGAGGAAGCAACTCAGAGATTGGACAAAATGTAGTTGTTGAAAGGTACGGAAGGACAGCTCAGTGATTTTTTGCCAGCAGTGTTCCAGAGTGTAGGTAGAGAGGCCAAGAAAGAGAGGATGAAGAGAAGGAACATGCAACAATAAGGGACTAGCAAGAGGAGAGGTCTGGTATAACATGAGAGAAGATGCAGCAAGGGGTCTGGAAAGAAAGGTAGTCTCAAAGGAAGTGACAGGTTGGGGAAAGGAATGGGACAGGAGATGAGGGGCTTAGTGAGAGAGCAGGAGGGACTGCAAACTGCGGGATCACAGCCTCTGCTTACTTTTCTGCCTGCCTCTTTAGCCCTTTGCATAAATTCCCATGTGTCCAGTTATCTGGGAGCCACTTCATTTCTCTAAGAATAAATACTTTTCCTAGAACACTTCCTTTGTCACATTCAGCTAGTCCTGAAGGTTATTTCAAGGCAGTACATAGGCACATGCAAAAGCTCTGGAGCCAGACAGCGTGGGTTTGTTTCTTGAGTATACTTTTATTAGATGTGTAGTTTATTTTTCAATTTATTTAGCTACAGTTTTCTCATTTGTAAAATGGGGATGATAATAATATTCATCTCAAAATCTCAGTGGAATGATTGAGATAATGCATATAAAGGACTTAGCAAAATACCTTGTATATAATAAGGGCTCAACATATGTAAGGCATTATCAGTATGATAACAGTTGTAAATATTCCTTAAGGTCTATGACCATCTCAAAACTGACATGACTTTCTTAAAAGTTTAAATGGTTGCCTAGTTACAATTTTATCCTCAAGATTAGAAAAAATAATAGAGGATCTAATAATAACGGAATGGTTATTGGTGCCAAAATTTCTTAGACTACAAACCATTGGCAATATAATATTTCCCAGAACATTTCTGCCGGTACCTAACCTCTTTTACTTCACTAATGGTTTCTCAGTCATACTGGTAATACTAAGGTTATTTGGCTATAAGAAATGTTATGGCAGATGTTTATGGTCTCATAGGGGGTGGGATCTGTATGAGCATTTAATTCCACAGCAAGATCCCAAATTAGTTTCATTATTCTAGAGAGTATAACAGGGTGAAAATTGGCCCACAAGCCTCAATGGGGGAATGAAATGATGAGCTAGCTATTAGATAACCTCTAATGATGTTTTGGTATGCAGTTAAAAGAGAGGATGCTCTAAATAATTCATAGTGGAGAGTAAAACACAATTGTATAAGCTACAGAATTATATTTTCCACTAGACAAAAGAATTTTGATATAGCAAATTTAATACTCCTTTAAAAATAACTGACAGTGTATAGGTTGAAGCAGAATAAATTTATTCACATTCCCAAATTAGCATATTGTAAAGATGGCTTTGTTAAGGGAGAAAAATGATTTTGCCTTTGCCCTTCTTCCAACGTCAACTAACACATGCCCATTTCCTCTCATTAATATCATACTGCCTCTGGGCTCATCCCACCTCACCACTTGAGCGCCCTACCTCAGATTCAGTCTCTTGGTTCTCTGATCTACAAGTATACTATCTTCCTTCTTTTTTGCCTTAACAAGTCTGATTGATTCCTCGAGCTTACGTAGCCAGCTGCTAGAATGAAATAAATCCAATGCACATAAAAAGTGAGAATAACTGAGAATAAGCAAAAGAGCTGGTTGGGTTTTATGCTTCTCTTGTGCCACTCTGCTTTTGACTGCCCTCCTAGCAGAATTTTGTCTCAATATACTATGCTAATAAAATAAACCTCCAAGATGGAAACAAGGCAGCCCAAGGGTCAGGTCAGATGTCTTGCCTCATCTGTGCCTACCATAGTGCCAGAGCCATCAGAGGTGCTCAATAAATGAAAATACCAAGAAGAAGAATTAGATGGGAACTGAACTATTGAGAGAGCCCTGGGACAGTCATGATTACTGAGGACATGTGAGCCAAACTCAATCCACTTTACCATTTTACACATAATATTAAGTCCCTGCTTTGCTTTCATAAACTAGTGTTACCCCTGGGACTATAAGTAGTTGCCTAAATTTCATTAAGTGAGAGAAATCAAGGTACACTTGGAGTAAAATACAGTTCCCCACATTTCTCTTGCCTCTCCCTGCCCTGGCTTGTGTTTCTCATCATGAAAATAACTCTCTGAGGTTAGAAAAAGTTAGAAAATGACTAGCACAATGCTTGGTCTGTAGTCAGCCAGAGTAAAGGTCAACCATAGTAAATAAGTATGAATAAAGGTATTGTCAGCACCTGCTTAGTGGAAAAGAGGATGAATTTTGGGGGCCATCTGTGAAGAGCAATCTTAGCTGGTACCCAGCCAAGGGGCAGGCTGAGAATAGAACATATGGTGGAAAGATAGAATAAGACTTGACCCCTGAGAATAGAGCAGAAAGCAGCTAGTCAAAGACTTGGGACACGGGCCTCCTCAAAAGTTAATTCCTGGCCTTTTACCAGTGTTTTTACTGTGTTAAGACCACACATAAAGATGTCTGATTTTAGTTTTTTTAAAATAGAAATTTCCCCTCAAAGTAATGTTTAGAGGGAAGGGGAACAAAGGTTTAATCGAAACAAAATGCCTAACAAGAAACTTTACTTTCTGGATTATTTTCATTCTGCAAGGTGCTTTTTAAGAACATTTTAAATTTTTATTTCCATTCAGCCTTTATTCTTTTTTAATAGCTTGTTGAGCGACATAATTCACATACCACAAAACTGACCCATTTTAAGTATATAACTAAATGGATGCTAATATACTGAGTTGTGTAACCTTCACCTCTGTTGAAATTTAGAACATTTTCATTTGCCTCAAAGAAATCCTGTACCCATTAGCAGGCACTAACCATTCTCCTTTTCTCACAGCCCGTGGGCAACCACTATTTTTCCTTCTGTTTCTGTGGATTTGCCTCTTCTAGACACTTCTAGTAAATGGAATCACACAATGTGTGTGCTCATGCCTGTTTTTTTCACTATGCATAGTTTGAGGTTCACCCCTGTTGTAGCATCTATCAGTACTGCATTTCTTATTATTGCTGAATGATATTCTAGTGCATTGATATGCTATGTTTTGTTTATCTATTCATCAGTTGATGGACATTTGGGTTTTCTCCATTTTGTGTCGTTTAAAAAAATGTTGCTATTATCTTTTTTGTACAGATCTTTTTGTGGACATATGTTTTAATTCCTTTTGGGTATGAACCTAAAGTAAAATGGCTAGATCATGTGACCAAACGCTTAACATTTTACTTATGTATTTTCTATGCTTACCATTTTGAGGAACTGCCTAACTATTTTCCAAAGTTTGCCAGATATTCTGGAGGTATAAAAAACAAAGTTTTAGACAAACATATTCTGTTTTGTGAGGGACAGTGAAATAGGCTTTAAAAATAAATTACAGGTTAAGAAGACCATAACCTCAAAAGACCTAGCATGAGCTTGAAACTAGAGGCAGAACAATGAAATACCTTGGAATTCAGTGATGCAAAAGCCATTATGAGTGACACCAAGTGAACCCCAAGATATGTCTGCTGTTATTTGTTTAGTAATCCACATTTTTACCTATTTCTGATGACTTCAGTCTTTGCTTCATAGGTTGTATATTTCATGTTATTAAAAGTTAAGACATTGGCAATAGGCAAATTTCATAAACTTTATATTTTTAGTTTGTATATAATACATCAAAACATTTTTAATTTTATCATTAAAAATTTTATCAGACTTTCCTAAATTATTAATAACAGGTATTTCTTTCTTCTTGCTCACTGCTGTATCCTTTGTGCTTAATCATATGGACCAAGGAGGCAACACGTTTGTTGATTTAAAGTAAATTGCTTTTACCTAAAATTCTAGGAATTAATTTTTTATTTGCTACGCACAAACTAAAACTAATACTCTACGCAAGAAAAACGTAATACGAAAGCACTGTCTGTATGTGTGTGTGAATGCTCATTGACCACACTTCTGAATGTACAGCTTAATGCCTTTACAAAAGAACTACAAGTGATAAGCACTTTGCAAAATACATGGTGAATATTTTATGTTTCAGCAGGTCTCTTTCCCTAGAGGGCAAAGCTAAAGTACTCCTTTTACAACATTCTAAAAGAAACCTTCAAAGGAGAGTTAAAAAAAGAACTCGCATTTTTTGCAAACAAGTGTCATCCTTCCTGAAAAGATTTTAAAAATCATGTATTCCTGCCCTGGAATGGAGTGGTCCTATGCTAAGCTCAGAAAGGAAAATACAAGTACATTCAATTTATCAGTCAGAACTACTTGGAATACGGACAGTCACCTTCTAAAAAGGTTTAAATAAAGTGACAAATGTCAGGTATGATTCATTAAAAAAAATCTATACAATCAATATCTGTTACTTTTTACCAATTCATTAAAGTATACAGTTTAATTTTTTAATGTGAAATAGAAGTACAGTTTTTTTTCTGAAACACTAATAATATGACAATTTCATATCCTGTCTATGAAAGGAAGCTAAGTAAGTCAATAGGGTTCTTGCAATGCATGCACATTTTTTTTTCCTAATTAGTGAGAACACACTGCCCTGTAGATTTCTCTGCCAAGACAAAGCAAAACATATGTCAAAGGTTATATATATGCTCTTAGAAAACAATCATAAAATTTAAATCGATATGAATGTATAAAATTTGTGAAATTTTTTGAAGTGAGATTTAAACAGAATTAAAGTATATCTAAATTTTTGTTCATGCTTCAAAGCAATATAGCTATCTGTTCTATATTAAGAATAACCAGAGGCAGTGCATGATGTAAAATGTTCTATAATCCTGGTTGAAATTAGCAATTTAAATTTGTTAAATGAGGTTACACTGCAATATCTAATGTACTAATCACAGAGATTTAAGTGCTTGCATAGTTGTTTAAAAATGTATTAAAAGGCTATAGGTTAACAATAATTAATGTATAATACATTATTATTATTAAAATATGCAATCTTTGATAATTTATTTGTTTTACAAATGCATTGGGGGTTAAAATTTTTCTATTCATCTGTGACCAACCATGAAATTCAATATTGCTCACCATGACCAATCCATGAAATTTGTCAACTTTGTTCCTGATTTTCACAGGGACTTACTTTAGATGAAATGACCCATTGAACTAAGAGCACAACAATTTTTTCATCTATGGTAAATCAGTTTAGTTTACTAGGATTTACTATGGGCTTCAGACCTTGAACTTTTAATGATTGTGAACCACTATGTATTTAATCCCCAACTTCTAGCAATTTATCTCGCTGTTTCTCCCCCTTTCTGAAAGAATTCTCCGTTTCTAAAATTAGTTTTCAACATAGGGTTGCCAGAAGGAACAATCTGTAAACAATGGGTTAGTTGAAAATCAAACAGTGGGTGAAAATTATGGGGAAACTGGAATCAAGTCATTAATTACTCTTAGAATTTCTAGCCCAACGGTCTCAAAAATTTTCTGAAAATCAAGGTTTATATATTGTCCTTACCAGACTGTGAAGAAAAGAATACTTTGCCTCATTTATCTTAAGAAATAGAAATACTAAATGTCTAATTTTTACTACCCAAGAAATAAGAACATGCAATTATCTAGTCTTTCAAGATAAAGTGACTACTTTGGAGAAGAGTTTAAACAAAATTATATTAGTATTCTATTATAAGACTACTCCAACCTTTCCTATTACAAATTTGAATCAAATAAGCCATAAATAAATCAAAAAAGTAGTTCAGAAATTTTAATTTCCCAAAATCTCATTTATTTAGATAGGTAAACTACATCAACATTTTAAAAATGTAATTGCTTAGTCCTATTTTTACTTGCCATTACTAGCTCAGACACTAAAGCTTCATACTAAAAATGCAAATCCAACTGCCAATGTGGAAGCATTAGGGCTCTTTCAGATTTGGACATATTTTAGAACCATTTTTCATTTTTTTTATTAGAGCAAGTCACTTTACATAAAATTATAAAATAAAAAATATTTTTAAGACAGCAAAGTGCCATTTATTTTTCATAGAGTTTCAAGCTATGACTGTAATAACCAACCTATTAATATAATTTAATCATTTAAATAATTCAAATAGTAAAGCTTAAAATGGTACTGATTGTATTGGAGCCTTATCAACTGAATAGAATTGACCAATAAAGATATGACACATTATTAGGACTAAATTATTTTGAGAAGAAAGAAGCCCCCATTGTTCAGTGTTAGTTTTGTAAAATGTCCCAATTCACAGTATCAAAATTGCACTTCAAAAATTTCTACTTACTACTTTACACAATTCAATAAAGAGTATAAAAATAACTTTGGTAAATCACATTATTTTATAAATTATAATAGCTAAAGAGAAAATATATTTGATACTTACTGATATAATTCAGTTAATGGTGAAGTCAAAATGACTAATGTTGTCAACAGATTGTTACAATGGGTATGAATTTTAAAAATTTTATCATCTATATACTCCTGAGGATTCAAAAGTTTCTGTACAGATGTGCAAACTGACCATAACATGTTCTCAGTACATATTAAAATTGTTGTGATATCAAGCCTAGTAGGAAGAAAAAGAAGAAAATTATGTTAAATAAAATTCTTTCTCTATGTGATATATACATTATCTTCTTTCTTTCTTGTATTAAAAATATGAAATAATATAAATATTTGTTTAGATACTAGAGTTTCAGAGATAAAAGAAAGAAAACATCAGAACTAGGTTTTGAGTTTCCATGTGTTAGGTGACCCATAATACCATTACCTTTAGGAACTGTGAGGTCTGTAACAGTGAAGTACGTTAGGAGTGCTTTAAATACATATATTTTAATATATGTATATATATTTATTAAAATACAGTTCAAGAAGTTCAAAATACTTTCCTTGAAATTACATTCAGTAAAATAAAAGCCAGAATAAAAGAAACTTTGTTATTATTCAAATATATATGATAGCTAAAAATTTGATAGAACGATTCCTCTCATCTAAGTATAAGCTGTCAAAAGACAGTCACGAGGGTGGCTCGTATGTTCTCCAGGTAAGTGGGAGATAAGAAAAAAATGACACCAGAAGCACTAATGTATTGGATTGACCAAAAAGTTCATATTTTTTTTTACCCTAAAATAGAAGACACGTTTTTCATTTTAACCAATAACTTTATTGGTTTGGATATTTTGAATACACCCGCTACCTCCCGCTATTGACTTCTAGTGGGTAGAGGCCAGGGAAGCTGCTAAACACCTTCCAATGCATAAGACAGGCCCACATCAAAGAACTATTTGGCCAAAATGTCAATAGTACCAAGAAACTTTGCAAACCACTTTTGACACATTCGATCAGTCACAGCAACTTCTCCATGCACTGCATATATCCTTCTTTTGTTTCAGTTGCATTTTTACCTTTCTTGAAATAATAAAACATAATACACTGAAAATGTTGCATATCTTCTTCCATCTTCGATATTAAATGGCTGCACAAAAATTCACCAATTTTGATGTTACTTTAAATGAACGCTGATATGACAGCTGTCACAACACAATCTAAAAAAAATTGTTTCAAATGAAGTTAAAGACATCTAAGCACTACTAGAGTCATCATATGAAAAAAACTAAATGAACTTTTTGGCCAACCCAACAAAAGCCTATAGTTTCAGAAACTTCCAATAATAAAATTTTTTAATATGCTATATTATTTATCTTATTCATACATTCATTTCTTTGTTTCTATCTTTTTTGGGCTATAATAGGGACTCAAAGATCTGTTTAAAGATTATTTTAGTGCACAATTAAATTTTACGGACCTCAGTTAATTTACTCTTTTTTTATGTATATTCAGTGTTGAAGAAATAGAGGATGAAATTTTTGAAGCAATATGAAGAAAAATTAGTACAAGGATCTTTTAAAATTACATTTTGGCTTCAATTTTATTATATGTACAATAAGTTTATACATATATTAATAATATATCACATATTATATATAAATCATGTATATGGTTGTGGTTATCTGGCAGTTGGAGGCTACTAGAATACTAAAAGCCTTAATAATCACCTTTAGGAAGGTTAATTGTAATTTGCATCCACTTACTTTCATTGCTGATTAAACAATTACAAATCCAAGTTATATGTATACACACACATACAAGTGCATAATCTGATTTCCACATGAATGGTATTTTAGAATTAAACATACAAATAAAAATATTTATTTTACTTAGGAAAACTAGAAGAAAAACTTCTATCTCTACATGGCTTTATTACGTAACCACCCAGAAAATAAAAGCCAAAAGTCTCTACAGTAATTAAATTAAATAAACTACCTATTTCATGAGCTTATAGTAAATCTGATTTCATAAATGTCTCAAAATGACTTGCCACCTCATAGTCAAAAGTGATTCACACTACATAAGAAAAAAGAATGAGGTATTCTTTGCTCTCAAAAGGAATTTTCCATCTATTCTTCAGAGTTCAATTTAAAAAAAAAAAATGCTTGGTCAGTAATTCAAAACAGCCTGTGTAAAATACCATATTTATGAAACACTGTAGCAGGACCTAAATGCCCTTCAAGTGCAGCCTGCTTTACAAGAGCATGAACATTATCAGGAAATGATTCCTACTGCCAAAAAAAAAAAAAAAAAACAAACTTCTGAGATCTGTAGGTTTCTCTTAAAATATATTTATATATAACTATACTTAAAAGACAAGTCTTAATCCCATTAGTTGGAATATTTATAAAACAAAATCTCCTCTTCATATAGACTGTTGTCATGTAAGCATGTTTTTATAATATTCATTGCCTAGATAACTTGTGGAATTGGATTATAATTTAGTCTTTAATTTAATACAGTGACTGTGGCTTCTATTTTCCATGATTTCACATTTCGTTGAACTGGCTTTTAGCAATACGTAATGGGAAAAAAAAAAGAAATAAAGTAAAAGAGGAAAGAAGTAATTAGAATATATTAAGGAGAAAAATGACTAGACAAAAGAGTTTTCTTAATGAAGATTAACTATACTACTTACGGGCTTAAACACACACACACACACACACACACACACACACACACACACACACAAAACCTAAGAAACTAAAATCGCCTGGTTGCTTAGAATCTCAGTCAAATTGACTGGTCTATCACAACACTGCTTTTTTTCTGCATTTTAGTACTTTAATTTTCTCTTTATCTTATTTATTAACCTTCATCTACACACACATGAAGGTTAAACATAAGGACATATACATCCTAAGTACATCTTCAATCATTTTTGAGAAAAAGTGGGTGCTATACACAATTATAACAAGAAAAAAATAGCAAAATTACTTGATTCAAGTTCCACAATTTCACTTAAATATTTCAGAAAATTAAGTACAATTTCCTTTCAGATGTTAGAAACATGTTAAGTATACAAGGTGTCATGTCATGAGATTCAGAATCACATTCTGCTTTATATTAAATGGTGGAAAATTTTTCTTGAAAGGCAGTGGTTTTCACAACATCAGTTACCTTATCTGTGGAGCTCTCTTATAACTGGGACGGGCCCGAGCATATCTGGAGGCCAGTAGACCCAAAGATTTCTCAAAAACTTCTGCTAGAATCTTCTGGGCAAAATTAGGGGGCAGAATGGTCCAGAGATCATGATGAAGAGCCCAGAAGAAGTAATGCCACATCTGGAGTGAGAAGGAGCATCTTTCCCCCTGGCAAAACCACCACACATTAAACAATAGAATCACATCTTCCAAAATGTCAGTTTGTTTCCTATGAACCTAATTAGTTCAGGCTGAAAGGAAATAGCTGGAGAGTCTGACACACTAGATGACCAAGAAAAATTTTTGACAAGATGTAAAACATCCTTACTGACAAAGGAACATATGTTTTATTTCAATCACAAGACTAGATATTCTAACGCAAATCCAGACTGCAAGCATTTCACCTAGCATATCCTGGGCATGAAGTTTAAAATTTACTTTTAAACAATCGGCTTTTCAGTTGCTAAACATGTCATGCTAGTTTAAGATAGTGGGCTGACTTTTCTAAGATTATAATTTAATTATTTAAATTAAGTAGTAGCAGAACTGAGATAATGTTACAAATGTTTCAGATTTCACATGATAATGAAATAACTAGAGCAAAAATTACCTTACATACTGTACACTTATCAGCATGCATGAAACCAAGTGGATGGGTAACTACTAAAGATTATTACATTAGGCTTTATCCATGGTGTTTTAACAACAATACTAGAAACGGATAATATACTAGTCTGATTTTACGAGATTTTGAATAGCCTGGGCAGACCTTATCATTATTCTTAGTATTTTTACAGCACATTATACTTCCAAGAGGCCAGAGTCTCATTCCCTTCCATCCTCCTGTAGATCTCTTCTGTGTGCCAAATTTTCCCTGACCACAGAAGGAGACCCAGCAGTGGCCAAGGCCAAGGGGAACAGGCAGAAATTAGAAGGTAGCCTCAAGTGATTTACAAGCATTAATTAGTTAACTTGCTCTTAGGGAGGTATGCTAGTAGTTTGACCTCATTTTCTTTGAACCAGTTAAAAAGATTAGTTGAAATAGCAGGAGTGGACTGCATTCTTCAAACATTATCTTGATTATCTTACAATATAGAAACTTAAAATAGTAAAACTTCTGATTTTATCTCTGAGTAACCCTTTCAAAATTTTTGTTTTACCCATTACTTGTATTTCTCAAATGTTATCTAAAAAAATCTTACACCAAAAAAATGTTATACCAAAAGTGGATAGTTACTTATGCATATGCTCCTTTGAGCATTCTCCTTACATGTTATTCTTCCAGTAATTTCTTTCACTACTAAAAATCTTTTGTAATCACTGCATAATAATAATAATAATTTACAGTCATTATCTATTGACTTTCAAATGGAGTTTATAAATGAGTAGAATTTTATCCTTTGGTGGGAAACCTGGATATCAAATGTCAAAGAGTCAAGTTCAAACTCGAGGGGATTGTGACCCCTGCCTTCTGATTAGATGTATATCAAAACTATTTAAGAAAAAAAATTACAAAATTAATACCAAAGTAACAAAATTATAGTTCATTATGCTGTCTATGTTTTGTTCTGCAATAAATACTTTTTTCAAATTTCTTAAAGTAAGAAGGGTGTTTTATTTTTTATTCTTATTTATTCTATTACAGTTGTCCCAATTTTTCCCCCTTCACCCTCCACCACCTAGCCCATCCTCCCTTCCAAAGTAAATCACCAAATCATTCACCATGTCTGTGGGTCATTCAAACCCGTTCTTTGACTAATCCCTTCCTCTTCTTTCCACTACCCGCCTTCCTCCCTCTACTCTGGAAGCTGTCTGTTCTGCGTTTCCATGTCTTTTTTGCTTTGTTCTATTTTGCTTGTTAGTTTATTTTGTTCATTAGATTCCTCTTGTAAGTGAGATCATATGGTATCTGTTTTTCATTGACTGGCTTATTTCACTTAGCATAACAGTCTCCAGTTCAATCCATGCTGTCACAAAAGGTAGGAACTCCTTCTTCATTCTTTCTGTTGCATAGTATTCCATTGTGTGAATGTACCACAGTTTTTAAATTCATCTACTGATGGGCACTTAGGCTGTTTATAACAGTTGGCTATTGTAAATAGCACTGCTATGAACATAGGGATGCATAAGTTTTTTTGAATTGGTGTTTCAGGTTTCTTAGGGTATATTCCCAGCAATGGAATAGCTGAGTCAAAAGGCAGGTCCATTTTTAATTTTTTGAGGAAATTGCATACTGTTTTCCATGGTGGCTGCACCAGTCTGCATTCCCACCAACAGGGCACTAGGGTTCCCTTTTCTCTATATCCTGGCTAGCACTTGTTGTTTGTTGACTTATTAATGTTAGCCATTCTGACAGGTGTGAATGGATGTCTCATTGTGGTTTTAATTTGCATCTCTCTGATGGCTATTGATATTGAGCATTTATAGATGTCTACGGGCCATCTGCATGTCCTCCTCGGAGAAGTGTCTATTCAGGTCCTTTGCCTATTTTTTAATTGGATTGTTTGACTTTCTGTTGTTGGGTCATATAAGTTCTTTGTATATTTTGGATATTTAACCGTTGTCCAATCAATCATTGGCGAATATGTTCTCCCATACAGTCAGTTCCCTTTTCATTTTGATGAAAAGAAATTCACTTCTTTAGCCATGCAGAAGCTTTTTAATTTGATGCAATCTCATCTGTTTACTTTTTTCCTTTATTTCCCTTTCCATAGGAGATATATTGGCAAAAATATTGACATAAGGGATATCTGAGATTTTACTGCTTATGTTTTCCATTAATACTTTTATGGTATCACAATTTCTTTTTAAATCTTTTATCCAATTTGAGTTTGTTCTGGTATATGTGTAAGTTGGTTGTCTAGTTTCCATTTTTGGCATGTATGAATCCAGTTCTCCCAACACCATTTATTGAAGAGGCTATTTTTACTCCATTGTATGCTCATGTCCCTTTTTCAAATATTAGTTGACCATAGAGACATGGGTTTACTTCTGGGCTCTCTATTTTGTTCCATTGATTTATGTTCTTATGCCAGTACCAGACTGTTTTGATTATAGTGGCCTTGTAGTATAGTTTGATATCAGGTACTGTGATCCCTTCAACATTGTTCTTCTTTCTCAAGATTGCTTAGGCTTTTGGGGGTCTTTTTGATTCCACACAAATTTTTGAAACATTTGTTTTAGATCTATAAAATATGCCATTGGTATTTTACTAGGAATTACATTGAACCTATAGATTGCTTTGGGTAGTATGAACATTTTAATGATGTTAACTCTTCCAGTTCATGAACAGGGGATATGCTTCCACTTATTTGTATCTTCCTCAATTTCTTTCTTCAATGCTCTATAGTTTTAGTTTTAAAAGGATGGGTCTTTTATTGCCTTGGTTTAATTTATTCCTAGGTACTTTCTTTGTTGTTGATATAGTAAATGGACTTTTTTCTCTTAGCTTCTTTTTCTGATAGTTCATTGTTGGTATACAAAAATGCCATCAATTCTTTAATATTGACTTTGTATCCTGCTACTTCGCCGAATTCACTTATCAGGTTGGGTAGTTTTGGGGGGAGGCTATAGGGCTTTCTATGTACACTATCATGGCTTCTGCAAATAATGACAGATTTACATACTCCTTTCCAATTTGGATGACTTTTATTTCTTCTTCTTGCCTGACTGCTGTGGCTAGGATCTCCAGTAATATTTTGAATAAGAGTTGTGAAAGCAGACGCCCTTGTCGTGTTCCTGATTTTAAGGGAAACACTTTTAGTTTTTGCCCATTGAGTATGATGTTGACAGTAGGGTTTTTGTATATGTCCTTTATTATGTTGACATATATGCTCCCTCTATTCCTGCTCTGCTGAGTATTTTTGTCATACATGGATGCTGGATTTTATCACTGCTTTTTCTGCATCTGTTGATACGGTGATGTGATTTTTATCTTTCATTTTATGATGTATCACATTTATTGATACATCAGAATTTGCGAGTATAGTACCATCCTTGAATCCTGGAATCAATCCCATTTGATCATGGTGTATATTCTTTTTAAGGTATTGCTGGATCTGGCTGGCTAATATTCTGTTGAGGATTTTAGCATCTATGTTCATCAGAGATATTGGCCTGTAATTTTCTATCTTTGTTGTGTCTTTACCTGTTTTTTGTGATTAGGCTAATGCTGGCCTTGAAAAAAGAGTTTGGGAGTTTTCCTCTTCTTGAATTTTTTGGAATAGTTTCAGAAGGATAGGTGTTATTCCTTGAATGCTTAATAAAATTCACCTGTGAAGCCATCCGGTCCAGGGCTTTCCTGTGCTAGGAATGTTTTGATTATGCCTTCAATTTCACTAGTTGTTATAGGTCTGTTCAGGTTTTATGCTTCTTCCTGATTCAGTTTTGGAAGATTATATGTTTCTAGAAATTCATCCATTTCACTCAGGTTGTCCAATTTCTTTGCTTATAGTTGTTCATAGTAATTTCTTACAATCATTTGTATTTTTCTGCTATCAATTGTTACTTTTCCTCTTTCATTTCTGATTTATTTGAGTCCTCTCTCTTTTCTTTCTTGATGAGTCTGTTAAAGTTTGTTAATTTTGTATATCTTTTCAAAGAACCAGCTCCTGGATTCATTGATCATTTGAATTTTTTTTTTAGTTTCTATGAAATTTAATTCTGCTCTGATCTTGATTATTTCCTTTCTTCTGCTCACTCTGGGCTTTGTTGTTGTTCCTCTAGTTCTTTTTGATGTAAGGTTATGTTGTTTACCTGAGATTTTTTATCTCTGTTAAGTAGGCCTGTATTCCTATGAACTGCTCTCTCAGGATTGCCTCACTGTGTTCCACAGGTTTTGGATTGTTGTTTGTTCATTTTCCTTTGTGTTCAGATACTTTTTGATTTCTTTCTTGATCTCATTGTTAACCCATTCACTATATAATAAGATGCTATTCAGCCTCCTTGTATTTGAATGTTTTTGAGTTTTTTCCTTTTTTGCCTTTTTAAAAAAGATTTTATTTTTTTAATTAAAAAAAAAATTTTTATTGTTCTTCAGTTACAGTTGTCCCATTTTCCCCCATTGCTTTCCCCTGCCCTGCCCATCCCCCCTCTCCCACATTTGAGTATTTTTCTTGAGGTTGGTTTCTAGTTTCAAGTCATTGTGATTCAAGATGCTTGATATGATTTCAATTTTCTTGAATTTGCTATGGCTTGTTTTGTGTTCTACCAAATGGTCTATCTTTGAGAATGATCCATGTGTGTTTGAGAAGAACGTATATTTTGCTTCTTTGAGGTGAAATATTCTGTAAACATCAATTAAGTCTATTTGATCTTGTAGGGGTGTTCAACCTCTAGCCCAGGATGGCTATAAATGTGGCCCAGCACAAAATCATAAATTTACTTAAAATCTTTTTTTTTTTGCTCCCCAGTTTTCATTAGTGTTTGTGTATTTAGTGTGTGGCCCAAGACAATTCTTCTTCCAGTGTGGCCCAGAGGCACCAAAAGGTTGGACACCCCTGAGAGTGCCGTTCAATGTTGCAATATTTTTGTTGACTTTTTGTTTGGAAGACATATCCATTGTTGACAGTGGCATATTTAAATCCCTTACTATGACTGTATTTCTGTCTATCTCTTAAAGTCCTCCAATATTTTCTTTATATATTCAGGTCCTCCTATGTTGGGTACACATATGTTTACAAGAGTTACATCCTCTTGCTGGACTACTCCCTCAAGTATTATGTAGTGATCTTCTTTGTCTCTTATTAGGGCTTTTGTTTTGAAGTCTATTTTGTCTGATATAAGTATCGTTACCCCAGCCTTTTTTTCATGTTCATTTGCATGGAATATTTTTTCCATCCATAAGAAGGGAGTTTTTAAAGCTAGATTTTCTTATATTTTTGGTGTACTGTAGTATGTTAATTAAAGCAAAACTGACCCCAGCTTATGTAATGAATAGTATAAATAACTTACACTAACTTTTTCCATGGCAATGGATAGTGCCAACATGATTTCTCATATTTTTCAAATATAAAAAAAAATTCCTTAATAGCTACCTTTAAGCAATAAATAAGAAAATAAAAACAACTTCAGGTACATATATTTCTTCTAAAAGTGAAAAATACTTATTTTTAAGACTTTTTTAACACATAAATTTCAAGTGTACATTCCAACTGGTCATCATTCTCACAATTCTCTTTAAAATGTGTATAACTTCAATGTATGCAAGAGTTTTCATTAAACTAAGTGTGATCCATTTATTTTTCTGACCTGTTTCTCTACTTGTTGTCATTTCAAAAGTATTCTGCTAGTAAACATCTGTTATTTTTGCAGGCCCACTATAATGTAAACAGATGTGAGCTTTTAGTTAGATTATATATCAGGGAACATGCAGCTGGGCTTTATTACATAAGCCACTCAATATTATCTTTGAACAGACAATTCTTTATTCTTTGACTGTTGGAAAACACAAGTTGCTAAAATTGAGCAGATGTCAACTATACTAAATGCTTAAATTTAAACATGTAATCTGAACACCCACTGTGCCATCTGACCAGCACCTCATCAGAGAGATGCCGAACTCTTTTGACTTTCTCAACCTGACAGTTTAGAAAATGGAAATAATGTATCTAGGGCTCACTTGATATCACAAAATATGAGCAAATATCACTCCATATCTTGTAAACTATTTCACTGTTTCTTTACTACACTCCTGCACATGGCACTAGGTTCCCCTGAGATCTCTATCGTACCCTTTACCTTCGGTCTGGCAGATTTCATCTCCTCTCCTCTCAAAACAGTCCTGCCAGGAAAAAAAAAAAAAAAAAACAACAACAACAAAACAAAACAAAAAAAAACTAGTCCTGTTTCACAAATCAATTGGAATAATGGGAAGAGGAGGAGAAAGGGTTGTAGTAAACAGGATAAAACCCCTGTCAGGTACTCCAGTTGTCAAAACAGTTTAAAATCTGTGCTATTTTTAGAAGTTTCTTATTTATGGTAAGTAGAAAAGCCGCATCACTTTATTTTTCTGTGCATAAATAACAACTACTAACTCTGCAATTAAATTGTAACTACTGACCATGTAAGTATATGGAAGCCACCGTACCACGTAATCACAGGGTAACTATCTTGTTATTTCTGTCTTTGAAGCTAAAGCATTGTCATAAGATCTAAGAGCTGCATGTTGCATAGCAATTTGTTTTTTTTAAAATACTTTGTAATTTCAATAACAGATTGGCAATGCATCCACTTACTATTTATACTGTACAACTCTTTAGGTCCTAATTTGCATAATACCTCTTTGTTGGACGTATAGTGAGATAATACCATATTTTTCAATGAAAACATCATATAAAATTGCTCATTATAAAAAAGTGACATATTGAAATAGCTTGAAACATGGGATGGATTCATTTTCAACCTCTCTGTTCATCTCAAGTCAAATAAGGAAGTTGTGATGCTGCCAGGAGAGAAGACTAATATTCTCTTTCTTATCTCAGGTGACCAGATGCACCACAGCACTTTCGTTTTCATTCTGCTCACTGCCATTTGAAGTATGTCAGGTTTGGAAAACTCTGTATGGATGTTCTTGCTAAAAGGAAAACTACCTGGGGAGGGCCTCTAAAGGAGAGATGAAATGGCCAAGCTGGAAAGTCCCTTAAAAGAGCTTCTTATTAGTTGTTCTTCTCTGATATGACAACATTTATTATTGTAATAGCTCAGGCATAAGTGGAGCTACAGGATTCAGTGTCAGGGAGACGACAAGTGACTCCACTGAATAAAACTCCACTCTTTTTTTTATCAGTATCCTACAGTGATTAGAACAATCAGGAAAACAAAAGTCATAAGCTTCAATCCAGAGGAAAGGGTAAAATGAAAAAGCTAATGAAGCTGGGCTTGACTGATGAATTTTTTAAAAACTCTAATCATCTTATCTTTTATTAAGATATTATAAGTGTTTCACCCTGCCCTGGAATCAACTTCAAAAAATTTCAAATATTGTGGCTTATGCATAATCAGTGGGATGTATGCAAAGGTAAATGAATGAAGCTGATGATGAATAATTTTAATTGATCCTGGGTTTGGTTGCACTGGGAATCATTAGAATAATTCAATAGAAATTTGGGATTTCAAACCATGGGCTAAATGAAAATAGACAAGCTATAAATAATCAGATGGGTCTTACAGCACACTCACAAGAACATACTTTGAGATGGAAAAAAAAGTATAATGAATGAAGCTGCTTAATAAAAATATTTATCAAACACAGATGGAAGTACATAACAAGAAAAAAATGCAAAGATACCTGTAACTGTTCCCTTTTGAAAAAATACAAGGCTGTAGCATTTTGGCATTGTTATCTCTTCGAATTTTCATTGTATCCCATTGTATTCTGACTTATTATGCAGCACTGCAACACTGCACATCAAATTAAGTTATTTTTATTTTTAAACAGAAGTAGAGTTCTGATGTCTAATTATTTCAGGTTTTTAAAAACAGCATTTTCCTAAGTACAAATTCAGTATTTTAAAAATATTATCCTAACAGCCTTCGTGTGTTAGTAATGCCAAGCTCATGTTTCTAATTAGCCAGAAAGCAGGTAGGCAGTAAAACATATTTGTGTAAAAAGGAGGGATAGTAAACTTAACTTCACACCTCATAAAAAGCTTTGTAGTCATCCCAGTGGTGGCTCTCAGCATCCTGTAAAATGCTTGTAGCACAAACTCTGACGCAGTAGTCCGTAACCTGAAACTGTAGAGTGTTGATGAATTCCTGATATCCTTGGACAGGCACCAGGAATATGGGTCTGTTCAGAGAGAATGATCAAAGAGACAGAGATTTAAGGCCTGTGTAGTAGGAGGTAACAATCTCCAGTACTACAAATGGTTTTGATTATTAGATATCAATCATTCATTTCCTCCTAATGCTGAAGTCTGCATCCACATTCACTTTCCAAAAAGAAAAAAAAAAGATGGTCTTTGTTTTGCAAGTCTTTTGAAAACGTACATCTGCTGTTCCACAAATATGCACTTCAGCTTGAGACAAACTGCATTGTCAATACATCATTCAAAAATAAAAGTATTCTTTGTAAGCCTATTATTAGCGATCAGTGCATTATTTAGGCATTAGGTTATCGTTATTATAGAGAACACATGCATTTGTCAGAACCAACTTTTATAAAGCTATCACAAGTCCCACAAACATACTCTTTTTATTTTAAAAATTGTAATTTTGTAGATGTCAATTATCTCATAAGCTGTTTTAAAATATTCTACAGAAATAAAGTGATTTCTGGCACATTTGTTTATAAATTCGAACATGAATAACAACATCTGACTACTTACGTGAATTAAAGAAATATCATAGTGATATTCTACATCAAGCCGAATTTATTTTACTTTTATCTTTAGCTATTTGTATTATGCTTTCTCTCACAACCAAGGAACTGCAAAGGCTGAATGAGTAATGCGGAATAGATTCTTGGGCTCACACTAGACTGCCAAGTCCACATGTTCCCTTTGCACAGGGCCCTGTTATCTTCTAGAGAGTACAAGGATAGCCAGAAAGCATGTGATAATACCTATGGTCATTTTTATTGTCTATACAGAAAACATTTAATCTTTTCAGACTACTAACACATGAGATTTAAGACTGCCAGATGCTTCCTCCTCAAATATTAAGGAGAGTTTATTACTAAATTGATGTTCTGAAATATGTTTAGTCAATAGAATAGATTGAAATGCATTTATTTTCTATGTCAGCTCCTAACATCCTCTTGGCTTAGAAACAAAAGAGAGAAGTGCGTATTTCACAACTGTGTATACACAGGAAAACAAAGTTTATTTTTCCTTTTCACTGTAGTTGATACAATGTGCCTTATAAAATAAAGAGGGTTTGTTTGGTCTTGTCATAACAGAGTGCAGAAAATTGTTGCTCCTAATTAGAATACGGAAAAAGCACGGGTCTTTTGAGTGAGCCCTTAGAGAAAATACATATCTTTCTTACTATCTATGTATCTGGCGTAATATATCCCATGCTCCACCTTTTTGACATTTCCTAGTTAAGACAAATGAAATAATTCACCGTGTTAATTATTATTTTCATCTCAAATATTATCATCAAAATTTTACTTCTGTGATATCCAAAGATTACATGTTACTGTAAACATGACCATCAATTTCATATACATGACACTCACTTCTTGGTATTTTCTTTCATCAAATTCTCATATTGCGTAAAACGCTGGAAGACATAAACCGCCGTGGAGAGCAATGCATGCAGGTTTTCCAGGGGTGCTCTGGAAGGAAACTCCTTGCGTCTCTCTTGCAGCCTCGCCAGGACAGCTGTTGCCACTTTACAGCAGGCCTCCACAAAGTTTGCTCTAATTTCCTGAAAAGAATCATCTCTGCATGCCAAAGCCAGTGGAAGCATTGTGTCAAGTTTTTCCATGATGTCAGAACAAAACTAGGGAGAAATAAATGTAGCACTGAGTTATTTGTACTCTGACAGCACCACGTAATTTATGTACAGGGGAGCCAAATTCTTAAATAATGAATTTGGCATCAAACATAAATGTAATCACACAACTTTATGGTAATCAGCTGTAGAAAGTTAAACGTTTTCTGTCAAATAAGGAAATACCAAAATGATGCTTCTCTCTATATAACCTTCAAACCTTATGGTTACCATACAGACCTTATGAAAACTCATGAAGCAGTTTTACATGGCAATACTTTTATTTGTAGTTAATAGAACTCAGAAAATATGTACTCTTGCTATTAACACGATAACATTTTTAAATTTATTTTAATTTTCATAAAACTTTTTTATTAATCATCACATAAAAATAAGGCTATATCAGTTTTACTAAATCTAGAAGTATCAGAAACAATCTCATGCAGCATCCTCTCATAGGCAAGGTATAAACAAGTTTTAGAAGTACAGTGCCTAGGGTTTCACTAGTTATTATGAATCAACTCCTTTTTAATGGCAAAGGAAGTGTGGTGGATGGGAAGGCAAAATTTGCCTCCACTCCAGATTAGCCCACAGTGTTCCCTGGGGAATGTTCTGGAGCCTCACAGGTGTCAGTAGCAGAATAGGAGGCCATCTTTAAGAACTCTCTTTTAAAAACATTTCAATCAGAGGTTGCTGAATTCATTGTGGACTTAATACTGAGAAACAGTATTTATCTATTTGCAATGACTTTGTATTTTTAGTATGTTATGTGACTTTCAAAGCACGTATAAACATGTAAGACTGATGCTAATGAAATCGAATGTTCACTGGGGGTAAATAAAGATTTAAAAGTTGCCTAAACCTATAAAAGACAGTGACTCCTTCAACCTCCTAAATTTCTCCTGAAGCCATTCAAAGATATAACCCAAACAAGCAATTTTCCCAGCTCCCCATGAAGTACACAGAGGTCCCCTCTGTAGCTAAGATTCACAGAGCAACAAGGTGGTAACAGGTTTAAGTCCTTTTTCTTAGTGGTGGCTCCTGATAGCAGAGAAAAAAAAAATGGTATTGTGTCAAGTACCAAGTGTTTGCCAAGAGGCTCTACCATTTTTCTACAGGTTCCCTTTGCAATGACTATAGAAAAAAAACCAAAACAAAAAACACCTCATTATACCAGTCAACAGTTTTGAAAGGACTTCATTTGATTCTTGCCTTTGCAATTTTCTTTGGTTGGTCCTCCTCAGGAACCACACAGCCATCTTGCCAAACTTGTTGGACATTTACAAGGTTCATAGCATAGGTCACAGCTGAAGACCTTTCATTCTGTTCTTGTTGTAGAATTTTTATGGAAAAATCTTTGATTGCTGTTGTTATACAATATGCCATGGGAAGGGACACTTCCTTAAATGCACTTCTCCAGCCAAAATCTAGTAAAGTAGCCTGAAATATAAATTTATATGAAATTATAGTAATCTTAATTCAGCAACAAGTGTTTCTGTTGTTCTAGATATAAAATTATTTCTTTCTTTCAGCATGTTGAGTATAGATATTCTTTGATAAACTGTAAAAGCCATTCTTACAACCTGAAAAATATTACCCAGTGGATAAAGCAATATCCAAAAACATGTGCATTCTTTACACACAGTAATATACTGACATTTCATTTTAATTCATCAGTGGATTTAATCAAAATTTTTTTTCAAAATTTAATCTCTTAAATATAGTTCCATAAAGCCATCTTTATGAGAGCTGAAAGTTACACTTACTATTTATCACATAAAACAAACTTTAAATTCAATATATTTAATAAAGTCGAAATTAGATTTTTATAGTCTTTTTTATAGTTTATTGTTAACAAGTATTGCAACATAAGACACCATTTAATATTCAATCTTTTCTTTTTCACTCTCAGAAATCCAGACAAGCCAAAAAATAGCAATAAAAAATAAATTTCTCAGAGAAAGTATACCACTGCACTTTTCTAGGTTTTTATTTCTTTAGAATTTTATTTTGTCCCCCTGCTCACAAACTGGTACATGGCATTACTTTTGTTTCAGAAAATGAAAAATTAAAATGATCTGCATTACTCTATGAGGGAGGAGTGGGGGAGGTTGGGGTGGATGCTGGTATTCTTTATTTTCTTTTGGTTTTTGTTTCATATGGCAATATATTTATGAAGGTATATTTCCCCTAAGTCCTCCAATGCTCTTTATAATACTAAAAGCATTATGAGTGGTAGGCTGAACCTATGCTTAGGATTAAATTCTGTTTTAATTTAATCTGGTTTACTATAATAATTTACCTATTCCAACTCAGAAGTCCTTAGGTTCAATACCCCTCACTAAATTACTTATTTTTCTAGGTCTCAATATTTTTGTTAGAAATATAAGAGTTGAATGGAATGATTTCTACAGCCTCATTTAGTCTAAAATTACTGAGATTATGATCATTAGCTTCATTTTCTTGTACACACATGTCATTCATCATTAATTTAATGCTTTTTGTATATACTGTACAAATAAAGATGATTCTTCTTCTAGAATGACAATTCCATGATCCATGATTCTATAATCAGAAAAAATGGTTCTCATTCTCATTATGCTTATAATTAAATTGTAATTGAACTTTCTGAAGTTTACTTGGGCCTTTAACATCATAGAGTCTGAAAACACATCTTTCATCTTATTTGTACACAAAATTACTCAATATTTGAATCTACTCAGCTTATGTAATCTCCTTTCTTATAAGGAGATTCTTATGTAATCTCCTTTCTTAAAGTTTCATGGCACTATACCCATGAAACTTGAGAAGTACCATGGGTACAGTCCTGTGCTGTAATAGTATTTCCTTGGGACACATTTATGACAGAAATGTAAAAAGAAAACCACTTCCATGAAAATTAGTAAGAACAACAAAACCCTGGTTTTTGTTCTCCCTGCCAGAGCACACCCATTAAAATTATTCATTCATTCAGTCAGTCATTCACCCAAGAAAAGATATTCTGGTGAAAACTGCCAGTAATTGCCATAGCTGCAGTGATCATTTGTGTATGTGCAATGATGATTACTTTAGGCCATGATAATTTATATGCAATTATAATATCTTGGCCCATCCAAATTCTCTTTTTAAAATACAGAAAACCAATCACATTAATAGCTGCTCTTAAAAAGAGAACTAAAAAAATTTACTATTCAAATGTTCTCCTAGAAGTCTATTTGTTTTCATAAAATATTGTTTGCTTCCTCCTACTCTTCTCATCTGATGTTTGGCACTAAAAATATTTAAGTTGGAATACAGAACACTTACAAGTTGATTAAAGAAGAAAAAAGGGAAATAATGTGGCTTTCTGTTCTGTGCACAGAGTATCTATTGAATCCCTTTCTTCTAGTACCTAATGATAATTTCTTAATATCTGCTCTGATTTTTGGTTAAAACATAATGTATAACTTTGCATTTTCCTAATTATTATTCTTGCTTTCTAAATTGAAACTGTTAAAACCCTATGTTCTTTCACATTTTCCAATGTTTACCTATCAGTCAAAGTCCATTCAGAAAACAGAAGCCACTCTAAGTACTTCAAAAGGAAAGAAAAAAAAGTAATGTAAGGTACTAAGGTGATGAAACTTTGAGGAGCCAAACATGGATTGTGAAGCAAGACAGATATCAATGCAGCAGGGTGCCACTATCACTCCTAGGGCCAGAGGAACAAAGGAAGAGGGCTGTATGGGAGTCCCGGACCTGGGGCCACCAGTCAGAGTTAAAGGCAAGACTGCCAGGTGGAACTGGGACAATGGAGGGAGCACTGTGCAGTGGGAGCGGGGCCCATGGAGGAAATGAAGGAGTCGCAGATGCTGCTAGAGATGTTCCATAAAACACAGAGGAAGGAAGAAAAACTCTGGTTTCCCTCCGTTATCTACCCTCCAGGTCTTCCATCAATGCCTTTCATTGACCTGACCTTCCCAGTATCCAGAAAGCAAGGAAGCCTGGGAGGTGTAATTCTCTATAATACAGAACAGAGACGGAGGGAAGAGTGTATTGGATCTGAGAGGAAACATGTACATGCTGGATACACTAAATTAAGAGGCCAGTTCAAAACATTCCTCCCTCTTTCCTTCCCTTTTTAACCTCTTGTTTTCTCCCTTTTCAGCAATTATTTATAGTCCAAATTCTCAAGCGTAGGCTCTGATTTGGGATGAGAACAAAGACCTCCTCATTTCCAGCTCCCTCCTCACAATCTGTCCATGGAACAGATTGTGCAAGAGAGCAGTGAATACACTAAACTCAATTTTTGTCAAAGTGTATAAGCCAATTTTCAACCAAGAATTATTTTTTTAGTGTCAAAGGGTAAAACTGAAGACATTTTGATTTATAATGGATTCACAGACATATGATGATGCTATTTTATATAAATAAAGAAACACCACCCTTTTACCCCCTTACCTCTTTTCCTGGTAGCAACTGCTCTGAAGAAATATTGATTTCATTTGCTCTACGCTTCTCTCTTATGGCTTCTCTACTGGGTGTTTCCAAAATTTCTATGCAATGGAAAACAATTCAAACACAAAAACATACATTAAGAGAAACAAACCATACTAGATGTATTTAATAGATTCAGGTTAAAATTAATTATGTAAAAAAGCTCTGTCTATACTATATACACACACACATACATATCAAGATGCAGAGAATATAGGCAACAAGATGTACGGCAATGTCACCATTACAATGATGGCAGCATCGGAATATACTGAGTCCTTTTCCATACATTCAACTAATATAATTTATGAGCTACTTATATTCATATTTGATATGCATACATACATAATCTATAAAATACCGATGTTAATTCATATTCATATTGATAATGTAGACTAAGTTAAGAATACAAAGTAAATATTAATTACTTTGTTCATGTAAAAAATTAAATTCTAAAGTACTGCATTTAAAAACTGGTGATATTCCTTAGCACTTTAATACTTCCTTTTTTGAAACAAGGAAGAACAAAAGTACATGGGTCAACATCAACATATCAGGAAAAATTATACTCTGAACAGGTATATCAATAATTCATTAGAAAAATGTAAACACTGGAACAGATAAATAATATCTACTTCATAAAATGGAAATATTTTCTCAACTTTTAGCTTTTAGAATTAAGAAACTCTTTCCCATGGGAAAAAAATAAACTATAAAAATATAATGAGTAAATATGGGAAAGAGAAATTATTCCACTTTTCCATTGAGGGTCTATTAATTATAGTTTAATTTGCTATGCATAAGTTAGCATTTATTTTATTTTTTCTTATAATTCATATATGATGATGAATTATAACTATTATGTAACATTTAAAAATTTTTATGAATTTTAGCAATCAGTTTCTCCTTATGTCTTGTGTAAACACATTTCAAAACCTTACTAATTCTTCTCAGTAGGACGTCTGACCAATATATACATTTGGAAGACGTGTGTGGGCGCGCGCGAGCGTGTGTGTGTATGTGTGTGTTTTCCTAAATATGATTCTATGCCCTGGTTGATGTGGCTCAGTGGACTGTCAGCCTGCAAATCAAAAGGTCACCGGTTCAGTTCCTAGTCAGGGCACATGCTTGGGTTGCAGGCCAGGTCCCCAGTCAGAGGTGTGTAAGAGGTGACTAGTTGATATATCTCTTGCACATCAGTGTTTATCTCCCTCTCTTTCTCTCTCCCTTCCTGTCTCTCTAAAACTACATAAATAAATAAAATCTTCAAATACAGTTCAATGAGTTTAATCATGATTCCTAAGTAATACAGTTCACTGAAACATTCCTAGAGAGATAAATATTTTATTTTGTAGGTGATAACAACATCTTTTGGGGAAATTTTATCAGAATTTTTCTATTCTGAGGAAAAGTTGTCCTTAACTCTAGTGTTTCTTAAGCATTTCAGATTTGTGAACACTTCTGAGAGCTTCATTAAAGTGAAAGAACACTCCATCCATAAGATACACAATATGACCCCATGGTAAGTACACACACACATACACTCATACATACTATTAAGGATTCCCAGACCCCTTGTAAAGCACATTCATGAACCCCAAGGCCCGTGGGCTGCAGTTTAGGAATCCTGCTTAATTTCTCAAAGGATATCACAACACAGAGAAGGTTTAGATCAGTGTTGTGCCAGTTAACCTAGAAAGCTTGCTCTATGGCTTGCATTTTACTGTCTTTCAAAGAAGATGGTACTATATGTAAAGATCACTTCTAACAATGAAATAAAATCCAGCTTAACCAAAGATTATTAAATAAAGAAAAAGGCAACTATAAGGTTATTAAAAGTATGGAATATTTTTTCAAAAATCCATGTAAAGACTTTTCAGAAGCACAAAAAACAATTCTGTATAACAAAAATACCATTAGCAGTCAAAATAGATAAGACAAATTGACTTGACACTCTCTCTTAACATGTCGATACCTATAAAAAATGAACAGGTTTTAGTTTTTAGAGCATTTTTAGGTGTACAGAAAAACTGGGCAGATAGTACAGAGTTTCCATATTCTCTCTCTCCCTCACCCTCAGTTTACCTTATTGTTAACATGTTGCCTGAATGTGGTTTTTCTGTTAAAACTGATAAACCAATATTGAGAGATTACTATTAACTGAAGTCCATAATTTACATTAGGGTTCATTCTTTGTTTTGTGTAGTTCAATGATATTTTCAATTGCATAACTTCATGCATCCACCCTTACTGTATCATGGAGAATTATTTCACTGCTTTAAAAATCTCCTGTCCTCTACCTGTTCACCTCTCTTCTCATTTTTCCCATTCCCTGAAGACCACTGATCTTTTTACCCTCTCTACTTTCTCTCCCCAGAATGTCATTTAATGTCATATAGTTGGAATCACATAGGATGTAGCCTTTTCAGATTGGCTTTTTTCACTTAGCGATGTGCACTTAAAATTCTATCATATTTTCTTGTGCCTCGATATCTTATTTTTTATCACTGGATAATATTTCACTGTATTGATGTACCACAGTGTATCAAATTTACCTAGGGAAGGTTTTGGCAATTATGGTGAATAAGCTGCTATAAACTTTCATGTGCAGGTTTCTGTGTGGACATTAGTTTTCAACTTATTTCCATACATAACTGGATCATATGAGACACTGCTTAGCTTTGTAAGATATAACCAAATTGTCTTCCAAAGAGGCTGTACAATTTTACATTCCTATCAGCAGTAAATGAGAGTTCCTGTGGCTTCCTATCCTTGCCAGAACTGGTGCTGTGTTTCAAATGTTAGTGCAGTCTCCTTGTTTTAATTTGCATTTCCCTGATGACATATGATGTTGAGCATCTTTTCATATGCTTATTTGCCATCTGTATATCTTCTTTGCTGAGGTGTCTGTTCAGATCTTTTGCTCATTTTTTTAATTGAGCTTTTTGTTTTCTTGTTGAATTTTAAAAGTTTTTTTTTTGTATATTTTGGATACAAGCCTTTTATCAGATATGTGTTCTGCAAATATTTTTTCTATCTATGGCTACTCTTTTCATCCTCTCAATGGCCATACCTTTTTGCTTGGCAATTTCACTTTAGAAATTAACCATTTAGAAATACATGTGCATGTATTAAGACACAGCTCAAGAAAATTTGCCACATCATTGTTTAGGAAAAAAGAATCCTAAATGTCTATCAATGAGTACCTTGTTAAATGCACTAATGGAAAGCTATTCAGCTGTTAGAAAGAATGAGGTATTTCTACATAAGTGTTAATAGTGAAAAACTCTCTGAATAGTATGTCAAGATTTTGTGCTATTTTAACACAGGAATATATATATGGAAGTAGTTGCCCCTGGAAAGCAAAACTAGACAATTGGAATAGAAAAGGACTCACCATATACTCTTTTGTTCTATTTAAATGCTTTACTATATGTGGAACTACTATTCAAAAAACATTTTTTAAAGAAGAAAAGAATAGTAGAGATCAAGTTAATGATATGAAGGGACAACACCTGGATTCTTAATGTCATTTTACTTTTCTACAGAGAGCTCACAAAATCAGCTAATTTAAGAGGTATTTACTCTGGAAAAAATAACACTAGTTTATAGTATAAGCTTGCAGATCTATTTCCAGAAATAACTATCTGCAATTGTGTAGCTATAATTTAAGATTTATGAAAAAAGTTAATTATCTTATATTTACCATTGTACTCCCAAATACAATATGCTTATTCACTGGATGTAACATGTTTTGATATTTATGTAACCTATCTGCCTATTTTCAAGATTAGTAAATAAAAAGATAAGCTTCCCAAGCCTTTTTTTGCTGGTGAGCAATTCTATAGTAAAATTGAAAATAAATTATCAAATAATTCTGATAACCTTTATAATATAGTCTTCCCCCAAAATTAAAAAAAGACTGTTTAAATACTTAATCCTATTTAGAGAAGCAAAAGGGATCATTTTAAAGCAGGATTAGTAACACTGAATCTAGACTAATAAGATATCTCCTGGTTTTAACACATTGTGGCATTTTATATTTGTTTGGAATTCAAAATGTTCAATTTCAAAATTCCATATTGTCAAACTTTATAAGCTCTGCGAACATTTGACAAATTTATTTCACCTATTTAAAGATATATTGAAAATCTATACATCTATACAAGCATTGTCTAGAGAAGGGAGCCCATTTTGGACTCAAGGCTCTAAAACATAGGTTATTTGTATGTAATCAACACTGGTTTCTCAAAAGTGTGCTTAGATTAAGAACCTCAGTAGAGTGCAAAGGGTCACAGGAATGCTAGCTGCTGAACAGCGTCCCCCTACAGAGTTCGCTGTGGTTCATTTTACACTTCTGGTTAGTCCCATACTGTCACTTCCTTTCATAGAGAGTAGAGGTTGGCAGTACTTCCCTGTGACATTCACTTTCACACCCAAATTGGTCTTCATAGACTCCCATTGTGCGCACTACAAAGCAACTTGCCTTGTTGGCAGCTCTAAGTGGGAACTACAAGTCTTTCTTTTCTTCACTGTTCTTTTCTGGCTCACAAGCAACCTCCCACCAAAAGCTGAATCTGTAGAAGAGACTACATCCAAGAGATCATACTATGAAAAAGTATGAAGAGAAGCCCAGGTGGCCACCTTGCAAATTTCCAATGTGGAAGCCTTCGACCTCTCTGCCCAAGAAACAGCTAAAGTCCTAGTGTAATGAGCTTTACAAACCCTAGGAGCCTCTTTACCTTAACTACATACGCCTCCCTAATACAATCCCTTAACCATCTAGCTAAGGAACTCTTAGAAGCCATTTGACCCCTCTTAAGACCCCCTAAGAGTACAAACAATCTTTCAGAAGATCTGAAATCTTTGATTCTTCTGAGACAAACCCTAAGTGATCTTCTTACATCCAATTGAAGCAGCCATTGCTCTTTGTCATTGCTGGGGCTAAAGAAAAATGAGGGCCAAGAAACCTCCTGGTTTAGATAAATCTCAGATGCCACCTTTGGAAAATTTGAGGAACTGCCCGAAGATCAACTTTATGCTGAAGGAGCATTAGAAGTGCCCCATAAATCAAAACCGAAGCTACTCCATAAGATATAATCACCCAAAAGAAATATAGTAAGGCACCACAACAATCAAATAACATTCTATCATTTTCTGAAATGATCAAAATAGAAAACCATCGAAGTATGACCTCCCAAAAGGCAAATAAATATAATGATTAAATACCATTTCTTTCTCAAAAAATATTTGTGTCTCTATAGCATCTATTGCATCATATTAAATTACTTAAGAACACTGCCAATTTAACTAACTCAAAAATATAGTAGGAAACTAAATTATTTGGTTAAGCATCTTTATATTTTTCTCTCTGTGATATTAAGTACCTGGATATTTTTAAAACATCTGGATAATGGGGGGGAAAACCCCAATACTCACCTTTCATCACATTGTTTTGGTTACATAGACATAGCAGGAAACTCTTCACAAGGTCTTTATTAGCAAAATATGCTCCAATCAAAATAAATACAGAGGAAACCAAATGACTTGATCTTTTTTCCTCCATTCTGCCTTACACAAGATATTTTAAGCAAAAGATAAACTATACGGATAACTTAAGATACATTTGGTTTCTTTAATCATCAATTTCAAGGCGTATTTTCCTTTAGATTTAAGAAACAAGGTTTTTGATAAGAATTGATTAGCTTTGCTTTCATGGAATAAAAAATTTAAGATTTTTCTTGACAACTTCCCTCAAGATCTTTCTTTTCAAGGAGCTATAAAGCTATGTCAGAATAAATCAATCCTGGCTGTTTATAAAAAATGTAAGTTTTAACAATAAAGAAGGTACATATCACAAGGGGATGTTCTAGTACTTAGATATTTCTTATATCTGTCCTTCAAAATTCCTTTTATACTATGTTTGATAATCCACAAACATGTTTCTATAGTACTCTATTATTAATGTAATATTGAAGTTGCTTTTATCTGCCATGCTGCTTATATAATGATAAATTTGGAATAAGACAACTTACTATGACATAATTATATATTTTCTGTGTTGATTTTATTCAATAATGATAACTATTGCTTTGAAATACACAGCATTTGCCAAATCTCAACATTACTTAATATTATTCTGATGAAGTTGATCCTGCTTTTTCTTCTCTTTTTTTTCTGAAATTATCATGTCAAACATTTGATTCAATTCTTGGCTATCTCAATTTTATATATTTACAATGCCTCTATAACACAATTCTAATATGCCTCTCTAACACAATTCTAATTTTCAATTTGCATTGCCCTTAAGAGGAATAAAGTTCTCAGGATTGACCTAGTCTCTTTCGGGCTTGGCCCAGGACCAATGCAAGATGAGTCCAAATGGTGGGGGTCTGAATTTGTTGGAATTCACTCTGTTTCTTCATCCGCACCTCAGAAAAGATCTGCTAGAGATATGGATGAGGAATGCCAAATCTTAGTCAGGCTTGATGGATGAGTACCTGCCCAGTGTCAACTGCTCCAGGCACCAACATGTCAATCAAAAAATAGGATGCCATATTTCTCTGCCCTGATCTCTCTTTGACCCAGTGAATTCCATCTAGAAGACCCTCTAGGGCTCACGTTATCTTCTAATTAAATCTGCTTTTTCATTCTCTCTTTTAACTTTCATATTTCATGTCTTATATTTTTATTATTTTCCCATTGTTTTATTGTCTGTTTCTGAAATCTATCATCTACTTTCATTTTTATTCAAATTATCTCCAAATTTGGAAAAATGATCTACAGTATTTACTGTATAATTTAATACTGCTTAAACTTTACCTGAAACATGGAAGGCCAGTAAGCTATGCTTAATATAATACAAACAAGTTCCGACTCTCTAACCTTTTTATTTACCCAGGCAAAGCAAATAAAAAATACAAAGTAAATATATTAAACTAAATGTAATTCTTTATTGAGATACCAGCTTTTGAAATTTTCAGATTTACCTGCTTGCCTAAATTTGTTTTACAAATACAACCACTATTTTATTTTTTCCTCCTAAAAATACTACATGGTCGTGTAAAAGAGAACTTTGTATCATTCATTCTGATATAAATGAAAGTCTGCATAAGTATAAATATGAACACAGAGAGCAATATCTTAACTATTATGGCTTTGAATTCTACCTTGAATTTTAGAAACATTATTCCAACACACATGGCACAGCTTTCTCCAAAAGGATTTTGTTAAGACTAAACTTAAAGTAACATTGTGTAATTCTAATTACTATTGGAACAATACACTTATAGTTTACAATACGCTAGGCATTTTTAAAAATTATTTACATACAGTAAATCATTCAATTCCCTCAGCACTATATAACATACTGGAATCTAAAGCACCTAATTGTAAAAGAAAACAAAGAGAAAATTAATTTAGACCTACACCATCATTGTGAAGTTGAGAAAACTGAGGTCTAACAAAACAAAATATTTTGCTCAAAGCCATCCATCCAGCTGCCAGTAGCAGAAGAGGAGCTACTAGATCATCAAGTCTGCTTAATTTTTTCTTATAGGCCAGGCTGTGTTTCTTTTCATTAAAAAAATGATCTGATTTTAATTAAAGACAGATATTTGGAATTGACATGATGCTTTATCAATTAGAATTATGGAATTTGCTATATGTAAAGTACAAAAATGTAATTCTATGTTAATAGAATTTTCTTAATGTTTTTCTCAGACTTTACATTTATTTAAAGAATTCTATAATGTATTTTTTCAAGTAGTGGTATAGATTCAGTGGCAGGAAGCAAAAATAGAGAGAATGACAGATTTAAACAAATTTAAACAAAAGGACATGTTACCTGATTTATTTCTGAGTATCTTGAGTGACAAAAACATTTCTTCAAACAATTTTTGAACATTTTTTTCCAGCTTCAAAAAGGATTTTATGAGCTGTGATAAGAATTCGAGTTCATTTAAGGAAAGGAAAAAGTTTCTTTCTTTCTGTGGGCATTCAGGAGTAACTGTGAAAAGAAAAGATCAATATACATTGTATTTGTTTGTTCAGTAAATACTATAATGATCTGTGTGATTCCATAAACCATTAAAACTAACAAGACCCTCAATAAATAATCCAAGTTTGATCTTGAGGAGATGAGAGTACATATAAAACTCCCAAGGAGAGTCTTCTCTTCCAGCAAGCTGGAGCTCAGTATTCTCTTTAATGCAAATATGACAAATAATTATATTTATTCTCAGAGCTAGAAACAGGAATGTGATTTGTTGTTGTAAAATTATGTGCAAGTCTATTTTTTTAAAGTTTGGCACAACTTTAGTCATAAAGAAACATAAGACAAATCCAAACTGATGGACATTTTACAAAGTATCTGGTCTATACTCCCCAAAACTGTTGTGTCTAGAAACACAAAGATCAGGTTTTGACTAAACAAATGTTCTGTTCAAAAAAGTCTAAAAAGACATGACAACTGAAATTAATACATGATCAGTATTTTATTTTTTTATAAAGGACTCTATTGGGATAATTTGATGAAACCTGGGTAGAGTCTACAAGTTGATGCTATTATTGCATGACTTAATTTTCTGATTTAGATAACTATACTGTGGTTATGAAAGAGAATTCCCTGTTTAAGAAATACACATTGAAGTATATTAACGTAAATGTTTATAACCTGTTTTCAGTTCAGGGGAAAAAAATAGTTTTAAGAGAAAGAATGAAAATGTGGAAATGTGGTAAAATATTAACATTTGAGGAATCTGAATTTTTTTTGTAACTCTGAAATTAAAATAAAAATTTTTTAAAGACTAAGTAAAGGATACAAGTCTTCAAGACCTTAGAAGTGTTGCTATTATATCACTAAACACAAGTAAATTAACTTAGTTGTTGAATCTAGACTATATAATTCATGAAACCATGTTTTACAAAATAAACTATATAAATAGTTGTGATATCTATTACTTTCGTAAGAACAATGCAACTTAAGATAAAGAAGGTTGATTAATTTTCTTTTATAATTATGCTACTTATCAAGTGACGCTACCATTTTACTATGATATAAAAATATCTGAAACAGCATGGAAAATGAGACTGGCCTCACTAAATAGCATCTTTGACCAAGCTTTCAAGGATTTAAAAAAATTCTTTATTATCACCACTTCTTAAAATACATATTTATGAAGTGTTTGAGGCTTAATTACAAATAAAAAAATTGTATACTCATAAAATAAGCATAAATTTCCTTTGGAGAGAAAAAATTAAGAGTGCTATTTAAAAATGATGTAAGGTCTGACGATTCCATGTAAAATAGGTTCCTTTCATCACATGGATTTAGAAGGAAGGTTCCAGCAATGTAGCAATTTTATGGGTCATTCATAAACTTTAAACTGTTTGCAACAAACTTATAACCATTTGACACAGTTTTCACCAAGGACCGAAACTGTCATCGTATCTTTGCAAATAATATGAGAGAAACCTGTCAAAAACTCTGTTTCATCTGTAAATTGATGTTAGTCCTGCATACAACGTCTACCTCCAAACATCCCTACTCACATCTACTGTTCTTCTAAAGGCAAGCCAGAGAACATAAACATATACAACCAATACATATAACTAAGGTTTGCCATTAAAATCATGACAAAAGAGAATAAATATATTATGATTCATTTAGACATTGCTTGATTCTTATTTGGCCTGTTTGATTTCTGTTGCACTTTGCTCATATAGATAAAGGGGTTGGTTTAATCTTTTAAATCATAAAGATTGCTTTTAGAACTGAATGTTTATAAGCCAAATTTTCAAAGACTAAGAATCTGTCCTAATTCTTTAATAGTTTTGACTGAAAATTAAACACACTTAAGATGGTTTTGTGTCACTTGATTCTAAATTAGGAGTATTGTGCATGTTTATAAAGTAAGCAAAAATGTTCCCCCTCGCCCTCAAAAACACTCTAATCTGGCAGTGCTACTTGTTTAAAGATTGCATAGAGTCTGAGGATTCTTCTTGAAGAGGTTTTACTAACATGACCAGGATTTAGAAGGATCTTGTATTTCATAAATTTAACAATATTGAAAGATAAATTTATTTCCATTCAATGCAATTTTATAACTTAACAACGAAGAGAACTGAATAATATGTATGACCTAAATCTCATCATTTTTGTCCCAAAGAAACAATGACTGTGGTAGAGGTCCATTAATTAGTAGTCGTTATTTCCTATTACTTTTAGCTCAGTGTTCTCCCAAGGGGTATTGTGAGGGTTCTTAATTTATGGGGAAAATAATTCTGTGATAAATTCATTTTGTGAGAGTTCAATTAAAGCAAAATTAAACACAAAGGATGAAATAGCATGTCACAAACTTATTTGTCTTATTTTCCCCATAGTATCTCATAGGACTAGTGTTCCAATCATCCCACCTTAGCTCATGGTTTCTAATTACCTAAGCATTTCTATTTTTCTCTTCTTTGGACTCTTCACTGTTAAGCAAATTAGGAAAGTTTCCTCAGCAGAAATCAGCTTCCCTAAATTAATCTCTTTCCCTTCTTTCAAGACTGTTTGCTGCTCTCCTCCAAATCACCTTTCCAGAAAATGTTATCTGCATATAATCAATAGGGAGGTTTCCTTCCCCCTCTAAACCAATCTGGTCTTTATCTGTTTGTTGTTGGTTTTTGCTTGTTTATTTTTGTTTTTATCACTATGGAACTATTTTACTTCAAGAAATTTTGGACATAACATGTTTACATGCAGGCAATTATGATTAGCCAGCCATCAATCATTGCTATATAATATCTAAAATAATGATTGTTGCTTTATATAGGATAAGCTTTATGATTCTTAGGAAATGCAAATTTCTCCTAAATCCTACATAAAGAAAAAAATTAAATTTCCATTTTGGAGTAAGACTTTCATTTACCATCAGCTAACAATGAATAAGTTCATGTAAATAATAACTAGATAGTTCAAGGGATTTTTCCCTCCATATGATTTTAATAATTTTTTCTAAAATATAAAATTTCCTACTTTTCTGTTATTTAAAGTATTTGAACACAAGTTAAAATTTTCTTTGTGACAGGGTTATGATAAAAGTTACTTATTTCTGTGCTATACTCAGGGACTAATGTCTGTCCTGTTACAGGACATTTCTCAAACTGATTATCATTTGAAACGCATTTATGATCAAATAGGTTTGCAAACTACTACATACTAACTAATCCTAAAAGTGATTCACAGTGCAAATTAGCATATTAAAATCTCTATTTACTTCTACAATAGTGTAAAATTTAAAAAAAAGTTTCTCAAAAATTTTGACCAAAGAATACATTTACTAATACATCTATTAACATTGGGAATTTTCTCAGAAAAATTAAGAGGAATGTGCTCTGGATTATACTTCTAAAAAAATTTCACCACGAAAAAGAAATGCACAGATAATCATAGAACTATTGTCCTAAAGTAGTAGTAGTAGTAGTAGTAATAATAATAATAATAATATTACCTAAACAAGGAGAGAGAGAGAGGCTAAAGAATATAGGCTATATTATACAAAAAATAAAAACTCTTTAAAAGGTGATATAAGCTACGGACTATACACTTAGAGGTGTTTTTCACCTGATGATTAATAGTTAAAATATTAATTCTATTCTCACATAGCAAAATTAAGGTCATTGAAAATAAATTTAGAAGGACATAAGACTCCTCACATTTGATCCACAACAAAGCAGTGTTTGGAATAATTATCAAAGTCCAGCTAAATCAGACAAACCATAAAAATAAAGGTAGTGGCTAAAAGCACACATATTATTTTTCAAAACCATTAGCAACAGAATTCTTGTTAATAATAGCGTTAAGATACAGGAGAAAATGAGAAGCTAGAAAATCAGATAATCTGAGGCTGGTGGATCAGTATAATAGGATAAAAGGCGCACATTTTTGTTTTCCCAAGAAAAATGAACACTAGCCACCCTATTATTGAATGTAAAAGGATCTATTTTCAGTGAGGAAGTATTCTTGGTGCCACCAGACAAGTGATGTGAAAAAAAGGTGACACACAAAAGGCATTGAAAGTCTCATTATTCCAGATGAAATTCATGACATAATCCAAATGGAATATATTTGTTCCAGTAAAGAAAACTTTTAAACAATATTACAATGAGAAATCAGGAGGGACCACATAGGAACAAATAATAGGCAGCACTTTTGCCAGTACCCAGGCCACTTCCCGAGAGCAGGTGGGACTTAGGAGCGCACTGCGGCGTTGCGGTGGCCTGAAGGAGCCCCGTGCCTCCTTGAGCACCTGCTTCCATGGAGCTGCATAGCAGGGGAAGGAGCAGAAATACAAACACCATACCCCTGAGTTTATAAAGAACCTTCTTTGTCATGTAAGCCTAATTAATAGCTGGGAAATCATGAAGGAACTGCAGGCATTGTTTTTTGTAACAAACACAGAGAAGAAATTGAAGCTGTTTTTTTCCCCTTTCTCCAGCATTATTTTTGCAACTTATTTTTCAAATTTGTATGACTAGAAAAGCATTTGAAGTAAAACTAAGACAAGATATATTTGCACCTTAAGTTTTCAAAACTGAATTTATTATTTCTTCTCTCTTTTGAGGAAGTTTCCATTTGTAGTGCCCAAAGCAGTCAAGGTAAAACTTTAAAATAGAGTAAATAAATGAGTGAGTGAATTAATGATTCAAAGGATGAAGTGATCATCGTTGAAGCTGAGTGAAAATGCAACCTGACACAAGTTGAAGATGTGGAAATTTAGATGTCCCACGGGTTAGCGTCTGAACCCTCTTCTATGTGGTCAGAGGTTGAAGAAGGAACTACAGGGAACCTAAAGCTCGCAGAAGTTGATGAATCCAAATTTGAAGTCAGAAAACATTTAACTCTTTGAAGATGGAAGTTGGACTCCTCTCACTCTCTCTGGCTTTCCTCCACTTCTGTTTTTACCCCCTTGTTTTATTACGCAGCATACTGCTTTTTATAGTATCACTACTACCTGAGGCACA